CTAATATTGACCAAGATTGCTACTGAGCACTCTTGAGTGAAACTGTGTTATAACAATGAATATATATATATATATATATATATAATTTAAAAAACAAAACACATTCACATACAACAATAAATAAAAATTAAGCAGAAGATGTTCTGCTGCCTTTGCAAGCGCAGATTCTGTTAAATTTGTGCCTACACTGTTGCGAGCACAATAGCGCAGTATATATATATAAGTATATATATATATAATATATCAAGAGAATTCCAAGAGTGTGCGAAGCAATAACCAAAGCAAAATATGGCTACTTTGAAGAACCTAGAATATAAGACATATTTTCAGTTGTTTCACACTTTTTTTGTTAAGGATAAAATTCCACATGTGTTAATTCATAATTTTGATACCTCCAGTGTGAATCTACAATTTTCATAGTCATGAAAATAAAGAAAACTCTTTGAATGAGAAGGTGTGTCCAACCTTATAATTAAATTAAAGGATTATAATTAAATATGAAGTCTGTATAATGCACAGCGTTATTGCAGTAACTTTAACAACAACATCATGACAAATAGTGATGTGAATAATCTATGTTCAATTGAAATTAATTAAGAAAAGTGTCTTTCTCACTCATATTAATACATTTACTGCTTCAGGGTAAAATGTGTTTGGTTGTAATAAGTATTTAGTAAATGTATCTAATAAACATTATTTGTTACAATTTAACTTTTGATGGTTGAACCCCAGGTGCAGAAATGAATGATAATGGTCAAAATAATAGGTTTCAAAAGTATTTATTAAACTAAATCAAAAGGCTGGCGTGGCAGCAAACAAGATACAGGCCTGCACGTGAACAGGAACAACAAAGTTCCGACACAGACTGAGGACACAGGACAGAATATAAAGGAGAACTAATGAGCTTAAACAAGAAACACCTGGGAGAGAAACATGAGGAGCAGGTGAGAGTGGGCGGGGCTGGAGCAAAGACAGGCAGGTGAAGGAAAACAGAAATACAGGACAGAAAACCAGAAAAGTAACCAAAATAAAACACTCATTCAGGCCGTGACATTATTTGAATTTTTATGACTTTTTTACATTTATATTGACATTAAACATGAAAACTCTACCCAGAAAGGTGTCTGACCAGGATTCAATCCAGCAACCTTCTTATTGAGAGGTATAGCATCTATACAAACTGTAGTGTACAGCTGATTCTGGATCACACCTTTGTTAAAAAATGGTTTGTCTCTAACGTTGCCTGCTGCCAAGTGCATGAAAGAGGGCAGGATGAGGGCTAGACTGATAGGCAAGTTTGCAGTAATGGGTTTTAGTAATTTGCTATGATTGTATTGTATCATAATTGGAATGAATAAATCAGAATCTGCGCATGGAAATGAGCTGTAACTGGAAAGCACAGAAATATAACTGAATGTAATTGTTGTAACATGTTGCCTCTGTGTGGTTAGATGGGTTACAGTTAACCAAATGCTGGTTTTGTTGAAATGTTGCCATTTTGAGAGTAAGTCTTGCCTCTTTTTGTTTGRAAAAAAAAAARRMMAAAMAATGCAYGTGTTTGACTGTAAAATGACATTGAAACACCAGGCATCCTAGGTAGGCACAAGGAAAACAAAATTTGGACATCAACACTCTCCCTCTGTGGTCTTTTAGTAAATGGTGATACAACAGACCTAGGATATCTGATTTAATGATTTGCACATCCCATAGTGTTATCAGCTGACTGTGGCTGAACTGTGACATCTCACCCACACGTTTTACCTTCATAAACTGCAAAGTTATCTCATCCTCATCATCCCTCTGCAGCTGTAAGAAATAAAAAATAGAAAATGATGTACTTTCTCTTTGAGGGATTCCAAATAAATTCCTGCTCATCTAAATGGGAGTCCATTTAGTTTAATGCCCCAGACACCTGAAGCATTTTATCAAAACAAAAACAGACCCCCCTCAAAAAAAAAAAAAAGACATTTTCTACTTCTCATCCTACATACCGTAATTCTCTATGCATGCATCCTAATATATGTCTGTAGGAACAGTGAATAATGCAGGATTGACCACAGACCATAATACACATTTTCTAATCGTACAGTTCAGCCCCTCCTTCCTGCTGAAGAAAATAACCCACTGCTGGCAAATTACAGCCACATTGGGCCTGCTGTGCATGAGGTGTATTAAACACCAGCTCAAGATCCTTTAAAATGAAGCCCAGCCGGCCGAACAACCTGCTTTTAATTCAGTGTGAGAAGAGAACATGTGCTTCAACATGCTGTGGGGYATGTGTCTTTCTCACTGCTTTCTTATGCCCAGGGTGGGAAAAAGACTCCTGAAGCCATCAATCAGGCTATCATTTAGAAAATGTTAAATTGGTGCATAAAGAAGTGCATTCAGTTTTTTAAAATTTAATTTTATTAATATTTTTTTTGTGGCGATGGGACCCTCTTTAGAAACCCACAGTGACAGTGGCTGAGTCGTCCCTGCTCTCAGAACACCAGCTGAAACAAGGAGAGAGAAGGATTATTAGGTRCAAACGACATCGCTGTGCTCCTGGTGAGGTCTGCTAATTAGAATAAAATGATGACATTAAAACAGAACCTGCAGTGTTTGGTTGGTTTTGTGCAATCATGGCAGATGGGGGAGTGTGTGATGTGACAGCTTTTACTTTGAATGTCAGTAGAATAATTGCAGCTTTATTAGAGCTTTGGAAAAATGAAAGAACTTGTTGTACTTAGTTTAAGGAAAGACAAATAAATGTAAGCATTTTTTAAAGTTTGTTCACTAGACTGCTGATAAATTGAGGACCGCTGCACTGGGATTGTGCTGCACCTGTTTTTTTTTCTCAATTTGTCTCCTATTCACTTTTTCTCATTGTCAAAATCACGAAGCAGAAAGTGCTAATTACTGCAAACACGGTTGTCCACAGTTGTCCTTGCTGCACAATATGAACATGACTGTCCACAAAAAGCACAGCAGGCACAAAACAACAAAACCAGAATAACGTGTAAACAGAGTTATCTCCAAGGCTTAGCAGAGTCACTGTTTAAAACTGTACGGAAATCTCACTGTAACAGAGAAAATTCATGTTCAGGATGATATTGCTAAACCAATAAGTGACACTTTGTGTTTTTAAACTTAATGTTTTGAACTTAATAAATCTAAAAAAATGTTTCCTTGGTGTTTAGCTCAGTCCATGGGGTGTGCAATTTGTCTTTTAACCACAAAAGCTGGGGACAAGGGGGTCTTATTGTTCCACAAAATAATTAATTACAATGACTAACAAATATAATATCACATTATTTTTGTTAGCCTTTGTTTGAAAAGCTGCAAAATCTACTGAAATGTTCTTCCCTCACCACTGCACCATTTGAAGACTCCTTCGATGCGGCCCACAAATGTGTCCATTTTACCCCTATTGGATCCTTCCAGCCCAGCCCAGCTCATGCATTGTGGGCCGACTACAGATTATCATTATTTATTTTTTGTTGCTTGTAATGGCAGAAGAAGCAAGAGAAAGCATAACAATTGAACGTTTCAAATGGTTGTGTTGTTGATGCTTTTGTTATTTGCATAGGCATGTTTTTAAATATTATTATTGTCAGATATCAAACAAGCTTGTATGGTGAAATAAACSTGCACAGTCTGACAGGTGTCGGCAGGGAAAAACTCAGGGTGCAGGCAAAAATTCAAAGTGCAACAAAAAGGCTTTATTAAGTAACAAAAAAGGCTGGCGATGCAGCTCAAACTTACTGAGAAGCTCAGGGAAAACACGAAGACACCACATAGGCTGAGGGGATGCAGCACAATGAACGGATAAACATTGAAGACAGGACACAGAATATAAAGGCAAACAAATTAAGCGGCAATGGGAAACACCTGGGGAGACACAAGAGGAAACAGGTGAACAAGGGCGGGGCAGGAGATAAGACAACAGGGAAGAAATGAAAAACACAGAAAAACGAAAACAAAAACACGGATTATGACACAGACACAGTCTGCTAGTTCTTCAAGTATTGCCTTTAAGCTAATTTTGTTATTTTATCATTTTCATAATACTAATTTATTAATATTTTGCTAATTTCAATCTATTTTTGCTTCTGTTTAGCATTGTCACTTTTCCTAGGAGACTGGGGTCTTCGAGGTTGACCAAGGACCCAACCCATCTAGACCGGGTAGGCCGGGTCCTTCGAAGGATGCAGCCCCTAAATCTGAACACAGCTAAATTCTGCCTTTTTCTGATATTCCTACTCCTGAGATGAGGAAACATTATGTTTCCAGGGATAATAAATATTTTATACTTCTGTTTTGCAAACAGAGCTGGTTTTTGGCACACTTCTTGCCAGAGCAGTTCTTAAACATGGCAGGGGTTTCCTTGAAATGCTTGTATATTATTCCATTTAAACACAAGATAAGTGGGGTTTGGTTGACAGCACTGTTTGAGGCACTCATTGTCTTTTAACACAGCAGTGAGTTAGAGAGGTGCTAAATTTTGTTGAATGTGGGCCTGTGTTTTTAATAAATCAGTGTTTGAGTGTGTCCTTGTCTGTGCTGCTGTACATGCTTTTGACATGTGCACCAATGAGTATACACCAAAACATGGTTATAGAACCTAATATCCATCTCATAATTGAAGAATATACATTACAACACGAGAAAAGTCACACCGATGAAGCAGCAGATAAAAAAAGTTTTAAATAAAACCATGTAAATCTTTCTCTAACCCTAGATAAGTTTTTATGGACAATAAAGTCATCATTTCCACTCTGAATATATGAATTGCCAAAGAATATTAGCCCTAAATCAAACGGAGTGTTTTAACGGCAGCTTCAAAAAAAAAAAAAAAAAAATGAAGTGACTCTGGGCCAGAGTTTGCTCCTTTTGTAGTTTCGAGATAAGCTCMGAGAATGTCTGTGAAAGTCTTATTTCTTATCTTCCACTTTTTGTTCATACTCTGCTGTGTATTCACACCTCCTCACAGAGACAAGCTCAGACTGCAGAGAGAAATGGGTCACTTTGAGACACCACTTGTAAGATAGAAAGGACACACAGAGGTGAGCAAAAGTCCTTTTTGACTGTTTGTTCCATCTTTGTGGACTCATTTTTTTACGTTTTTATCTTTTCTTTGAATAATTTCTTTGACATATGGTCTTTGACTAGATGTCTGTTGAAGAGTATAAAATATTTGTGGGAAACTGTGCTTTTGAATCAGAATGGGTACAATTTCACGGGAAGAGCAAATCACAGAATACCCATTTCTCTTTAGTCAGGGCTTTTACTCATATGGAAAGAAAAGAAAAGCTCCAACACAGTAAACTGTTGGAGCCTCAAGCTGCAGCTCTCTAAAACTCTGAAAGCATGAAAAGGGATTTATGAGGAATAAACAACACCAGGGAGAGACTGTATCTACAACGTCTGAGATAAGAAAAATAGAGGAGAAACATATGAAACAAGCATTTAAACGCTGCCATCATTAAGTGGGCTTTTTTCAAGCACATTGCATTTTCAAAGTCTCTGAACTGGAAATGTGCTCTAGGAGAACAGAGGTTAATGGCTCTTGAAGAGCAGTTTGTGTCAAAGAGACATTCAGTTCGGAACATTTGTCATGTTCAAAACTGAATGTCCATATTATACAAACTTATCGAGAAAATCTTATGGATTTTTTTCAAAAATTTTCCTTCACATTGATCAGAGCCGGCGGGCTGTTAGAAATTGAATGATGGGAAGTTTGGCTTGTCTCAGAGAGCCAGCTCTTGTTGAATGGCTCCCAAAGAAGAGCTGAATCTTTCATCTCTCAAATGGCTCTTGTTATCTGTAGCCTCATGTTTTAGCTTAACTTGGCAAATATGAATGCTATGTTTGTTGATTAACCCATTTGCATTTAATGTTCTTATGAAATGCATTATAATTGCCTAATTTTGCGTATTTGTTCTATTAGAAGAGTTTTCTTTTATTTATTATTTCAATCAAACTTGATTTAGTGTGCTGGGTTCTCCACCTGATTGCCACGTCTGTCCCCCTCTCTGTTCTCATGCAGAAATATGATCCTATATCAGGGGTCGGCAATCCTGGTCCAAAAGGGTCACTTTCCTGCATGTTTTATTTCTCTGCTCCAACACACCTCCGTCCATCTGTCCGTTTTCTGCCCCTTATCCGGGATCGAATCGCAGGGGCAGCAGCCTAAGCAGAGAGACCCAGACTTCCCTCTCCCTAGCCACTTGGACAAGCTCATCCAGGGGAATCCCAAGACGCTCCCAGGCCAGCCGAGAAACATAGTCCCTCCAGCGTGTTCTGGGCCTTCCCCTGGGCCTCCTCCCAGTGGGACATGCCCGGAACACCTCACCAGGGAGGCATCCAGGAGGCATCCTAACCAGATGCCCGAGCCACCTCAAAAAGTTATGAACAGAATCAGTGACAAAGGGCAACCTTGGCGGAGTCCAACTCTCACCGGAAACGAGTCCGACTTACTACCAGCAATGCAGACCAAGCTCTGGCACCGGTCAAACAGGGACCTAACAGCCCATTTCAATGGGCCTGGTACCCCATACTCCCAAAGTACCCCCCAAGGGACATGGTCGAACGCCTTCTCCAAGTCCACAAATCACACATAGATTGGTTGGGCAAACTCCCATGCACCCTCCAGGACTCTGCTGAGTGTGTAGAGCTGGTCCGCTGTTCCACCACCTGGACAAAAACCACACTGCTCTTCCTGAATCCGAGATTCGACTATCCAATGGACCCTCCTCTCCAGAACTCCGAATAGACCTTACCAGGGAGGCTCAGAAGTGTGATCCCCCTATAGTTGGAACACACTCTGCGGCYCCCCTTTTTAAATAGGAGGACAAYCACCCCGGTCTACCAATCCAGGGGAACTGCCCCCGATGTCCACGTGATATTGTAGAGTTGCGTCAACCAATGCAACCCCACAACATCCAGAGCCCTAAGGAACTCCGGGTGAATCTCATCCACCCCCGGCGCCTTGCCACTGAGGAGCTTTTTAACCACCTCGGTGACCTCGGCACCAAAGATTTGAGAGTCCGACYCAGGGTCCCCAGGCTCTGCTTCCTCATGGGAAGACGTGTCGGTAGGATTGAAGAGGTCCTCGAAGTATTCCACCCACCGACCCACAACATCCCGAGTTGAGGTCAGCAGCGCACCAACCCCACCATAAATGGTGTTGGTGGTGAACCCCCCCCCCCCCCCCGAGACGCCGGTTGGTGGACCAGAATCGCCTTGAAGCCATACGGAAGTCWTTTTCCATGGCCTTTCTGAACTCCTCCCATGCCAGAGTTTTTGCCTCAGCGACCACCCGAGCCGCAATCCACATGGACTGCCGATACCTTCTGGCTGCTTCCGGGGTCCCACAGGCCAAAAAGACCCGATAGGACTCATTCTTCAGCCTGACAGCATCCCTCACTGCCGCTGTCCACCAGCGGGTTTGAGGGTTGCCGCCACAACAGGCACCAACAACCTTACGGCCATAGCTCAGGTAAGCTGCCTCGACAATGGAGGCATGGAACATGGCCCACTCAGACTCGGGAGACACTGACAGACGTTCCCAGCAGACCCTCACTATAAGTTTGGGTCTGCCAGGTCTGACCGGCATCACCCCCCCACCAACGGAGCCAACTCACCACCAGGTAGTGGTCAGTTGACAGCTCCGTCCCCCCTTCACTCGAGTGCCCAAAACATGCGGCCACAGATCAGATGAAACGACAACAAAGTCGATCATCAAACTGAGGCCTAGTGTGTCCTGGTGCCAAGAGCACATGGACACCCTTATGTTTGAACATGGTGTTAGTTATGGACAATCCATGATGAGCACAGAAGTCCAGTAACAAAACCCCACTCCGGTTTAGATCGGGGGGGCCATTCCTCCCAACCACGCCTCTCCAGGTCTCACTGTCATTATCCATGTGAGCATTGAAGTCCCCAAGCAGAACGAGGGAGCCCCCGTAAGGAGCGCTCTCCAACACCCTCTCCAAGGACCCCAGAAAGGGTGGGTAATCTGAACTGCTGTTAGGTGCATGGGCACAAACAACAGTCAGGACCTGTCCCCCCTGTAGGCGGAAGGAGGCTACCCTCTCGTTCACCGGGGTGAACCCCAATGTACAGGCACCGAGATGGGGGGCAATAAGTATGCCCACTCCTGCTCGGCGCCTCTCAGCATGGGCAACTCCAGAGTGGAAGAGTGTCCAACCCTAACCAACCCCTCTCAAGGAGACTTGTTCCAGAGCCAGAGTGGTGTGTTGAGGTGAGTCCAACTATATCTAGTCGGAACCTCTCAACCTCACTCACCAGCTCAGGCTCCTTTTCCACCAGAGAGGTGACATTCCACATCCCTAGAGCCAGCTTCTGTAGCCGAGGATCGAACCACCAAGGTCCCCGCCCTCGAACAYTGCCCAATACACATGGCACCCTACCCCTACGGCCCCTCCCACAGGTGGTGAGCCCATGGGAAGGGGGACCCATTTCCCCTCTTTGGGCTGTGCCCGACCGGGCTCCATGGGTGAAAGCCCGGCCATCAGGCGCTCGCCAATGTGCCCCACCTCCAGGCCTGGCTCCAGAGTGGGGCCCCGGTGACCCGCGTCCGGGCGAGGGAACACTGACTCCGTTTATGGTACTCATCATAGGGGTCTTTGGGCTGCACTTTGTCTGATCTTTCACCTAGGACCTACCTGTTTGCCTTGGGTGACCCTACTGGGGGCATGAAGCCCCCGACAACATAACTCCTAGGATCATTGGGACACTCAAACCTCTCCACCACAATAAGGTGGCAGCTCAAGGAGAGTGTGCTCCAACACACCTGATTCAGTGATTGAAATACCTAATTATTAAGTTCTGCAAAAGCTGATGAATCACCCATTCATTCAAATCGGGTGTGTGGAGCAGAGAAGCAAGTGAATCATGCAGGATGATGGCCTTCGAGGACCAGGATGGCCCACCTATCCTAGCGTGTGATTGGTCAAAAGTCCAGTGAAAGGAAACAAAAGTGTGAGCTGGCTTTCACTTGAGCCGATGGTGTTGAAGATGACACTTCACTAAAGGGAATACATTAGTTGTCTCCTCGTCCTATCTCCTTATTACACAAACACTACATACTTTTTGTCAAAATTATTGATTTCTTAGGGTCAAACTACAGGTAAACATCCAAAGTGGTTAACGCATGAACTATATCACTACATATGACCTGTGTACATGTAACGTGGTCATACATACACAACATAAACATACCTCCTTATTTGCAACTCCCCTTCCCCTCCTTAGATTTCAATTTATTTATGGCATATCTTAGGCAACATGGTTCCAGTGTTCCATCAGTGTTTAAACAATGGTTTTATTTTTACAGTTCTTACCTTTTTGTGACTGTCTAAATCTTTTGGCTGTTGGATAAGGTCACCCTTGACTTGACTTGATCTCAATGGGGTTTTATATCTGGTCAAATAAAGGAAAATTGAATGCCTTTTCTTCTTCRTCTCAGTGGAAATGTATCTGAGTTGGTGAGTCGTTGGTTCAAAGCTCATCTTGAGCAGGAAAAAAATTAAGAGGAACGTTCCTTGTAGTTTGGTTCTCATAGTTCATTTTAAAGAGTCATTCAAAAGATTCTGATTGTTTGCGACCGTCACACCTCTGGTATGTTGTGTATGATGTTTTTACAGTTAAAGCCACAAGAGGCTCAAGTAGCACAGGTAAACATCAGCTTAGGTTGCTGCTGTGTGTATGGCTGACAATGAGAAGAGGTTGGACATAAACATTTTTCAGCCTGCAGGCTATGTCCAGGTCCACTTGAGTTGAGGTTGATGGAAAATCAGTGATCAAATCTAAATAATTTTTTATGTTTATCTTAATACTATGCTTTTATTTTGAAAGCACATGCTGTGGTGTTTAGATTGCTGTAAATCCTGCTCACTTACTGAGCTTTTTTTTTTCTACAAGATGACTGCATCAGGCTATCCTTTACTTTTAGAAAATGAAATTATTACTGGTTAAAAAATCATATTTGAACAGCTGAGTCATATTTTTCCTTTTTTTAAAGATATGCAGAAAACATTAATATTGACTTATGTGGACATATTTTACATTTTACTCAGCATTTGCCAATAATGTATTCATCTAGTTTGGCTCCAAAGTTGACATAGACATAATGTAAAAATAGAAAAAAAAAAAACTTAACAACTTTGACTCTGCTTTGACATGAATAAATAACCCAAACCAAAGCTGGTTATGCTGAGAAGACTGCAGATGCTAAAACGTGTACACATATTTGATAAATAACAGGTAAAGGCRACTGGCAGATGTATCTTGTTGAAACTCAGTGGTGTGGAAAACATTACAGCAAACAGAATATTTAGTATCCAGAGCTCAACTTACAGCAGAATACTTGACCTGGGTGCCTCGGGCGTTCTTCACAGAATGCTATTCTTTTCAGAGTAACGATTAATACATCATGCACACATACATCTCCTACAGTTGGCAGCATTGTGTTTCTTTTTACTGTTCAACTGTCTACTTTCATTTTAACATGTTCAATCAATTTGCTCTTCTGTCTCCCTTTTTTTGTGAGCCACGTAATGACTTTCAAAGCTGCCGTGGCACAGTGCTGYCACATCTGCACAGATGTTCTCAGATCTATTATCCCACATTACTTAGCACAATTGAATTACCTTATTTTAAATGGATAAGCTCTTTTATTGTGATCACATATTAATTAACAACTCACCCTGAGACAGGAACTTTGTTTCCTGTTTAAAAAAAAATCATATTTTTCCTCAGAATTTCAAGACAAATATACTAATCAGTGCAAAGTCATTATTTATTGATGATCTTTTTTGGAAGCCTGCATGTTTTAAAGTGCAGACATGACGTGCAAGAATGAGATTTGACTGAAAATCTGACCAGACTCCCATTTAYACCTGTTTAGTCCTTCTGCTTGCTGGAGCTGACTCAGCCTTGTCACACTGCCCCCTGCTTCATGGTGGTGGACTGATAAAACCCAGCTGATATCAGCAGGCAGCTGATGTCAAGAAATCCAGACAGCAGGGGCTGATAAATGAGTTTGCAGATTTTTCTGCTCTGTTTGTGCTGAAACTAATTACCAGGGAGAGTCTGTGCTCTGAAGCATCAGATACTGACAGTGAATTGGTGTATTTTTAAACAAGCGTAATGATTACAGCCTTGCAAGCAGTGTAGGTCAATCCTGGTTCCTGTGTGGCGTTTGAGAGCCTCCTTTGTCTATTTCAAAGAAATACTGGGTCATAACCACTGTGCTTATAGCTAGGAGGCGTCATTGTCCGAAACTGTTTAAGTAACGGACTCAAACCTCAGCTCAATGACATTGATTAACACTCCCTTCAGAGTGTAACCCTGTTTCTGTGGCAGATTCCTATCAGAGGACAGAGTTACAGCAAGGACAGAGGCGTTCCCTGTCTCTCCGCAGTGAATACAGCTCACTACAAAAGACTCCCATTTGAGCACAAAGTGGAAACATGGCTGCTCTCACTGCGAGGACAAGCGGCTTTCTGCCCGAAAGCGCTCCCCCTCTCGCGTGGCCTGCTCCTCCGAGAGGCCCCGGCGGAAGAGCTGCTGAGGCTGCAGCAACAGATCGGCAGGTCCCTGATGGCAGGAGCACAGCGTCCATTACCTCACAGCCATGTGAAGTCAGGTTTGCAGGGAGAGAAAGAGTCTGTTTGCTGTGGATGTGGTGTGCAGCGACGCTTGGTTCATGTATTTCTGCTCGTGTGATTCTTTGCAGGCTCCAGCTGACTGCTCTCTTTCTAATAGACCTGCTCCAAGCCCTCTCTGCCTGCGTGACCCAAGTCATCACTTATGGCTGCCTTGCTGGAGCAAAAAGGACTTGATTAATGCTGTTTAGATACACCGCCTTGGTGTTTTTATGCCACTAAATCAAGTGCCTGAGGAAAGTTTGTTAAGCAAACTAGAGGAAAATGCATGTTTTACATATTGCTTCAACATTCGTGACCAACACTTCTATTTATTTCTGAAAGTGCACAAAATAATAATCACTTGATAAGGAGACTTATTCATAACTGAAAGAAAAATGAGAATAGGTTGATGAAATAGCCTGCAAGAAGACATATTTAATGTTCCTTTTTTAGTTTATTTTCAAATTGTTTTTAAACAAATACAGAAACTTTTTTGTTTTGTTTTGTCACAAGGGCAAATAAACATTTTAACAATTTTAATTAAAAGCTTGCACTTCAACTTTCTGTCACTCTATTGCTAATATTACAAGTCTGGAGCTATCATAAAGCAGTTTTCATAAGAATTATTTGACGTTTGGTCTTGGCCAATATCACATGACTGACAGTGTGTTTACTGATAAGAAGCATCAGGATTTATAGTTATTCTGCTCGTTGGTTCAAAGCTCAGTGTCTGGGTGAAAGTATCACTAACAAAAGGTTGGAAGTTTATTTTTTAAAATAAAACTGTGATGTTATTTGATATTATTATTCTTGTTATTTTTTGTATATGAAGCAAGAATGGAAAGGAAATGACCTACAAAGCTTCAACAATTACTGTCCTCACTTCCCAAATGCTTATTGAGTGTTGTTAAAAAGAAAGGTGATGTGAAACAGAGTTAAACATGACCATGTCCCAGCTTGTTTGGAACGTGTTGCAGGCATTAAATCTAAAATGAGTGACTATTTACAAAAAGAACAATAAAGTTTTTGATTTAACCACATGAGCATTAACTATTGTCTTTGTGGTGTATTCAATGTAATACAGGTTTAAAAKTATTTGCAAATCATTCTGTTTAATGTTTTACACATTGTCCCAACTTGTGTCTCATCATGTATTTTAATGAAATGTTTAGAAAGTCATCTTTGCATGCACATCTACAGTTAATTATCTTTTGGAATCAGTTTTATTCAGACAGGTTTTACAGATAATGGGTTACATGTTGATGTGAGGGATTTGCTGTCCATCCATCATCTACATGCACTTCTTTCCTTCCAGGGTCACTGTGGTCCAAATCCTGCAGTCRCCCTGAACAGGTTGCAAGTCCATCACAGGGTCACATAGAGACAAACAGCTAAACAACTTTACTGTCTCACTCACACCTAGGGATAATTTAGAGTTACACACATTCATGGTTTTGCTCTGTGGGAGGAAACCAGAGTACCTGGAGAAAATCCACAAATGCAAACTCTACCCAGAAAGGTCACAGTGCTGGGAGTCAATCCCCCAACCTTCTTGCTGAGAGGCAACAGCTCTACGACCTGAGCCACCGTTCCACCCTGCTGTGTTGTGCATAACAATATTTTCAAGGTTTGAACAAACACTACTAAAGATTAACTTTGAGATGAAAGGAAGAATGGACCTTTAGWTTATAATGGATTGGTGTAGTTTAAAGGGACAATATTATGTGTTTCTCAGGCATATATTTAAATACTATGCCATAATAAAGTATCTATGTCACCTTTAGTTGTTATTAAAATGCTGTTTTTATGTTTAAATAGAAAATAAACTTCTCATCACTTCCTCTTCTAAATGCCTTAAAATTGGCCTCTGTCTCTTTAAGAACCGCCTTCTACTTCCGTTTTTCCCATTTTGGAGTGTGTGTGTG